AAACTCATCAGGAAACTGTTCATACAGGAAGTCGACTCATTCTCCATTAGAGTGAATGGGATACATTTTTATTGCAGCCAGTGGAGCTCACCCTACTGGTCGTTACATAGAATGCAGGTTTAACTTCAGAGACCTGGAAGCTCTGTACGTTATATAAACTGACAATGGTCCCAACTAAGATCTAGTCCTCCCCTCTGTCCTTGTTTCCTCTCTCCTCATGCAGCATGTAGGTTGTGATGGACAGATCGCTTCAGACCAGCAGGAGGACCGATGTGGTGTCTGTGGAGGAGATAACTCCAGTTGTAAGATCATCAAAGGAAACTTCACCCGCAGCACCAAGAAACAAGGTCTCTGAAAAACAGGAGATACTGATCAGGTTACAGGATGACCAACTGAAACAGTTAGATACTGGAGGCTCTTAAAACCTCATTCAGTACATTAACAGTTGCTTCCAGAACTTCCTCTGTTGGAGTATCTATTACTGATCAATTATTCTTATGGCCTAGGTTACCTGAAAATCCTGGAGATCCCCAAAGGAGCCCGACATCTGCTGATCCAGGAGTTCAAAGGGACTCCTCACATCCTGGGTAAGAGGAGGGAGGAGGAGCTTGTTTTGTGCACATGAAGAACTTCTGTACATCTTATGTAAACCTTGATTTGCTTGTTTCCTGCTCCAGCGGTGAAGAACCAGGAGACAGGTCACCTATTCCTCAATGATGAAGACGAGCTCCCAGAATCCAGAGTGGTGATTGAGAAGGGGGTGGCGTGGGAGTACAGCAACACTGAGGAGCAGGAGTCCATCCAGACCTCAGGGCCACTGAAATACGGAGTCCTGCTCATGGTCAGTCTACCAACACAGGGAGGCCAACTTTCTCACATTCTTGCTCATGTGTCTAAATCAGAGAACATACTGCTTTCCTGTGTTTCTGCCTGTCAGGTCCGTCCCCATGGCGACTCCAAGGTGACGGTGTCCTATAAGTACATCATCCAGGATCATCTCCGGTCCTCGCTGGAGTCCAACCTGGTGCAAGAGGACGCCATCTTCTACGAGTGGGCACTGAAGAAGTGGTCACAGTGCTCCAAACCCTGCGGAGGAGGTACGTGACTCTGTTACTGGCTATCCCCCCTGAGGTTAGCTGTGTTATGTGGTTACCAGGGAAACGACTGCATGGTAGTTAACAGTGTTGTCTGGTTGCCAGGGAAACAGTACACAAGGTTTGGCTGCAGGAGGAAAGCTGATGGGAAAATGGTTCACAGGATGTTCTGCTCCAACATCAACAAACCGAGAGCCATCAGCCGCACCTGCAACACCAACGCCTGCAGCTCGCCACGGTAACAATCTACAGATCGCTATGGTAACACACTACAGCTCAGCTACAGCTACACAGATGAACGTGTTCGGGCTAATTTGGCTGATTGATTGAGTACTGCAAAATACAACATTTAATAGACCCCACAGAATAGATTTTTTTGGTAAAGGGAAGAAAAGCTTTGACTCCTACTATTTTGCCTCCTCAGCTGGGTGACCGGAGAGTGGGAGGACTGCAGCGCCTCCTGCGGTCAGACAGGGTGGCAGCGTCGCTGGGTGAGCTGCCACCAGGTGACCAGCATGGGGCAGCAGCACCAGCACTCAGTGAACAGCAAACTCTGTGGGGAGGACCGCCCGGATGGCAAACAAACCTGCAACCGCTTCCCATGCCCGGCTTCCTGGCGAACTGGGCCCTGGACCCCGGTACAAACAGTGAAACCAGGAGATTATTCATAAATACACAGTTATTTATTCATATATGTTTTTAACCTCTGTCCTTCTGGACTACCTCTAACTTCCTTCTTTTTGGTCTACCTCTAACTTCTTTCTGAGCTACTTCCAACTTACCTTTAACTTCCTCTTTTCTGGACTAACTCTTCCTTCTTCTATCTGGACCTCTCTGGACTAACTCATGCTTCTTTCTCTCCAGACTACCTCTGTCTGGACTATCCTTAACATCATTTCTCTCTGGACTCTGGACTCTGTTCTAACTTGGCCAGTTAAGTACTACTTTTAGCCCTAGGATGTGCGTTGAATATGACCCCAGATCAATAACTGTCCGATCGACATGTTTATGTTTGCAGTGTTCAGTATCATGTGGAAACGGGACTCAGGAGCGTCAGGTTAAATGTTCAAGTCCTGAGGGTTCAGCCCGAAACTGCAGTGAGCCTCGACCGAGCACAACCCGCACCTGCCAGGCCCTGCTCTGTAACGGTAGGCATTGACTAATCACATACTGTACTGACAGAGAGTGAGGGATGCTGGGAGTTGTAGTCTGTATGTAGCTAACTGTGTTTGCTACCCCCCTTGCAGGTGACCAGAGGAACTCCATCATTCAGTGGCTGTCCAGGTCCAACACAAACTTCACAGCTCCAAATTTCAGCTCCAGTAAGGCACCCAGACTCTTCCTCCTCCTTTCTTTGTGCCTGATTGTTCTGATTCTACTCATGTGCTTGCTCCTCCTCTTCTTCCTCGACATAATCCTCCTCTTCCTCCTCCTCTCTTCCATCAAGAGTTGTTTGTGAATGTTACTCAGGTTTTGTTGTCCGAGATGGAAGCTGATCTGATGTCAGATCATGTATCCAGCTAACACCAGGTGGAGATACTGTACACACTTCATTAACTGAACCGTTGCTGCTGCTCTGTCTCCAGGGCAGCGTTGCCGTGGGGACCGCTCAATATTTTGCCAGATGCAGGTGTTGAGGCGGTACTGCTCCAACGCCGGATACCGTCAGATGTGCTGCAAGGCCTGCAGCAACTTCAGCGACTTCAGTAACTTCAGCAACTTCAGCAACTTCAGCAACTCTGACAACTCCAGCAACTTCAGCAACTTCAACAACTTCAGCAGCACAAGTCTGCCAACAGCCAACAGCAGGTCAGAGCGAGACCTGGTCCCTTAAGATCTGAAACCACAAAACCACAGTTCTGATCTGATGCTACTGACCTTTCTTGTGTTTGTCTCCTAGTTTGTGGAGTGTAACCACAGAGACGATGACTTCATCATCTACCTCCACCTGGTCTGACAGCCACTACATCATCAGTGACATCACTAGCACTCCCCCTCTGAGCTTCACTGTAACTCCGCCCCCCACCAGCAGGAGCAGCACCGACTTTGTGTATGTGGAGTACGACGATTACAATGAGTATTCGTCCTACGAGGATCCTTCTGTTGCCTCTGACACTCCGGATATCGTTCCCACTACAACTACAACAACTACCACAACAAGACGTCCAAGAAAAACTGCTCCACCTCATTTATTCAGGAGGGAAACTACCACTCCCACAATGCCCCTTGCTACCATTCCCACAGTAACTGCTGAAGGTCCAACACTGGTGCCAATCAGGACATCTGCCGTCCCAGAATTCCCCACAACAGCAACGTCAGCTTATCCTGATGACATCGTCACCACCGCATCGTCACCAAACAGAACATCAGGTGGGAGGAGCCTTCAGACTGAAGTTAGTCCGACAGAACCTGAACCAACGCCAACATCGGCGTCATCGTCCTCCTTTGTCCCGCTCTCTAAGAAGGAGAACAACTCAGTGGACGAGGTCCCGTACCGGATCGTGGGTTTGGACGGTGATATCAGCAAGGGACAGCAGAACTACTTTGTGCCGCGGATGCCACCATTTCGTGAACGAACACAAAACAAACGCATCCAGCAGCTCCTGAACGAGAAACGGCGTCAGGATCTTCTGAGGAGATCCAACAGGAGCCGAGAGGGCAGGACTGACAAGAAACATGTTGGATTGTAAAAATATTTCCATTTTAGTTTTATTGTTCACTCGTGATGCCGCATGTGCAGCTTGCTCACTTCCTGCTAACGCTAATGAACTTGTGACGAGAAACAGACTGCGATAAAACAAACGACCAGCAGGTTCTCTCGACCTTCAGCTTCGTGTTTCCTAAAGTTTACAGTCATATAGCAACGTTAGCTTGAATCTAGAATAAAGACAAAGGCTAATTGTCTAAGACCAGAACGTGGAAACATTTGCTTCATTCCCAAAACGTTTATAGGGAGAAACTTTTTTCTGGTTTTTACATTCATGATGTTTGTATCAAATAATCCTGTTTTTAAAATAAAGTCTCATTCAGCTGCTGATGTCATCTCGAGTCATAAACACATCACAGTTTAACATTTAGTGACATCTTCTTTCTCTCTGACACCCCCTTTCACCAAAGTATCAGAGGTTCCTAACCCAAGTATCAGAGGTTCCTAACCCAAGTATCAGAAGTATCAGAAGTATCAGAAGTTCCTAATCCAAGTATCAGATGTTCCTTATCTTAAACCAGTTCTTTGTGTTTCGTGAACCAAAGAAGCAGCTCTGGTTCCAGCGAGGAACCAACACTAAAACAAAGAACCTTGTGAACAGCTGGCTGTGTATTTACAGGATTCCCGCTCTTTTTAAGAAATTATTTTATTTTAATATCAGCACTTGTTCATGAACAGCTGTGATATAATTCAGGTCCAGTATTGGGTTTTATTCCTCCTCAGGTAGGAGGTCCACATTGTTCTCATCACAGCTGATTCTCAGCAGGGTTTCCGGTCATTTCACCAGAACTTCTCTACAGTTTTACACAGATTAATGAGCTCCAGGGAACTTTTATTATTTTATTGAGCAACTAGATTCTCAACTAGCTTAACGGTTCTAATAAGGTTCTCAACCAACTCTGAACCAGCACTAGAACCAGACCACAACCAGCACTGGAACTATACCAGAACCAGAACCAGACAAGAAATAGCTCTAGAACCAGACCAGTACCAGCACTAGAACCAGCACTAGAACCAGACCAGAACCAGACCAGAACCAGAACTGGAACCAGACCAGAACCGGACCAGAAATAACACTAGAACCAGACCAGAACCAACACCAGAACCAGACCAGTACCAGACTGAAACCAGACCAGTACCAACCAGCACTAGAACCAGACCAGAACCAGACCAGAAATAACACTAGAACCAGACCAGAACCAGCACTAGAACCAGTCCAGAACCAGCACTGGAACCAGACCAGAACCAGTCCAGAACCAGCACAAGAACCAGTCCAGAACCAGAACCAGCACTGGGTTCTTGTTGGTGGAAGGAGGGTTTGGCAGGTGTTCATTGATTAGGCTCTCTGTATCGTAAACAGTGTTGGGAAATGTAATCTGAGAACAGTTACTAATTACCCGTTAAAGAATGTAGTCGGTAATCAGAATATTAAAGTAACTTGATTACTTACTGTTACTTTTGGATTACCTTAACACCAAATATGCAAATAAACACAATAGAAAATAAATATCAAGTATTGATCTGAGAGTAATCTATAAAACAGAACAATGTTTTATCATCGATGTATTTATAAAGTAAAACTGTAATCTGATTACATCTCTCTCCAATGGTTCCTTTAAACACAAACATCCTGTTTAAAGCTTCTGGTAGATAGACAGATACTTTAAATGGAGATTCGTCTTTAAATGTTTTTGTGAATATTTTTGTTAATAATTAAATGAATTATGTAAATACAGAATATATAAAGTACCTCTAACTATTACTGAAGTACTCGAGTAAATGTACTCGCTGCCTGTGAGGACAAACAGCAGAGCAGAGGTCGCTGCACAACCCGTCAGTCCGGACTCGGGGCGCAGCGAACCCGTGTCCGGATCGGGGCGCAGCGAACCCGTCCAGTATATAGACATAAGGACGACAAACCCATATAATACAACACAGAGAGACGGCAGCGACCCGTCAGTCCGGACTCGGGGCGGCAGCGGAACCCGTCCCAGTCGGACTACGGGAGCGGCAGCGAACCCAGTCGAATAACAGACTTCGAGGGGCAGCGGAACACTCAGACGGAAGCGAAGTTTTAAAGCGGGAACACACATAGAGCAGTAACATGGCGGCCCGCGGTGGGGACGATTCGGCTTTCACATAATATAATTGAGCAAAGAACCTGAAAGGAAGATCCGGATCAGTTTCCTTTGTCACGATCGGCCAGCCAGCGCGGGCCAGGTGAGGCGGGAAACCAGCCGCTATTAAACCCGCTAAAACAAACACACAGAGATATGCCTTAGCATCAGATACAACACCAGAACAACAGCTAACAGCCTAACAACAACACTAACAGCTAAGCATAAAAGCTTAACAACAAACAAAGAAACATAATGGCTAACGCCTAACGGCTAACGCCTTAACGCTTTAAACGGCCTAACAGCTAAGGTTAACGCTAAACGTTTAAACAAGCTTTTAAACGGCCTAACAAGCTTAACGGTAATGTCCATGACCCCTGTTTAGCTGTTAGCTGAATGTAAAAACCACAGAATTGATTTCGTTAAAAAATATAGTAAACTGTTATTTTTGATTAGTAACTGTGTTATTTATTGATTAGTAACTGTTTATTTTAAAGAATTAGTAACTGTGTATTTTATTGGATTAGTAAATATATATAATAATATGATTAGTACTGTGTTTATTATTGATTAAGTACTGTGTTTTATTGTTTATGTGTTTTGTGTATAATAACTGTAATTTATTGAATGAGTAACAAGGGTCGAGTGTGGAATGAGAAATAAGGTGCCGTTTCGTTAAATATTGTCTCGTATGCGACTTGCAAACTCGAAGAAGGGACGTAACATCCGATAATAAACAGATAAAAACAACAGATAATTGCGTCCTGTTTGTTAAACACGACGAGTCCCGGAAGAAAGAACGGAACCCTCCAGTAAAGTCCTCTAAAATTAAGAAAATAATAATGGAAAAATAATAAAAGAATATATTATACGGTTGGGCCACCACCCGCCGGGGGAAGTTTCCAACAAAGAATAAAATTCCAAACATGGTAAAAATAAATAAAATACAATTATATTACAATATTTACAATTCCCCAATAATTTTCAACAGATAAAAAAAATTTGGATATCCTGAAAAAAAAAAAAAAATTAAATATTCATGAGATATATTATAAATTATATTTGATTTACGTTACCCTGCCTGCTTCTTGCTTTTTTTTCCCTGGGCCCCCCCTTCAAGAAAAAAAAAAAAACCTTCGGCATTGGTTTTGGTTTTCCATAAGCAAAACCCCCATGGGAGCCGTTCTTTCCTTTTTTTTTTAAAGCCAAAAATTTCCCCCAAGCTTTTTGCCCCCACAAGCCCTTACAAAAATTTACTTAATTGGAGGCGTATTTTTAAACACAATAAATTAAGAAAAAAAAAAAAAAAAACCTTGCCCAAGCCACGACAAAATGCCTATAGGGTTTTTTAACAGTTAATCAACGTTGGCTATGGGGTTAACGACTTCTTTTCCATTTTTTTTTGGTTTTAAAACAAAAGCCCAAAATGGCTTTAATAGTTAAAGAAAAAAAAAAAAAAAACCCAACAATGTTTTTTTTTTTTTTAACCTAACCGTGGGGGGTTTTTTCCCTATCCCTGACAAAAGCCGGGGTGTTTTTTTGGAACCAAAGGGCCCCCCCCTGGGTTAAAGCTTGCTTGAATAAAGTTTTTTTAAAAAACTTTAAAACAACAGAAAAAAATCCAATTTTTGGGGGAAAAAAACAATTTGCTTGCCTGCTTTTTCCCCAAGGTTAAAACTTTTTTTTTTGCCCAAAGCTTAATTTCCTGGCTAAAAAAAAAAAAAAATTGTTTAAAAAATCTACAACCCCCTCTTGTGGGGTTTTTTTTTAAAAAACCCATGTGGAAAAAAAACCCTTGTTTGGGAGGGGGGAAGCCTACAAGAAAAAAGCTTTTAAACAGCCA